TCAACTATATCGTATTCTGTTTTTAATTTAATTTTAATAATATAGAATATATTTGAGTAATAATTTTATATATGTATAAGGATAGAAAAATGAAATCAACAAATATTGATAATAAAAGAATTATTTATTGAATTTAAATCGAATTTAAAGCATAAATTAATTTATTCTGGGAAAGTTTAATATTCAAAGTTGAACTTGAATAAGTTAAAAATATATAAGATTTTAGCTCGATAAATTCAATAAATAATTTCTTTTTTTAACATAGTATTTATTTAATTTTACTTAATTTTTTTTTTTTATAAATATATCTAATAAACATTAATTAAAACTAACTACATGTTTAAAGAGATTATACATTTTAATAAAATCTAAAAATTTAATTTATTAATAAGTAAGAACACTTTTTGAGCTTTCAAATTAATATTAATTTAGCATTAAAAAAGTAGGCAAGAACGGTAGAAATTAACATGCTAATGAAGGAATTAATCATGGCCGTATCTGACAGGAACTAGTTTTAGTTCATTTTACGGCAATTATTAACTCATTAAATATATATATGTATATATTTTTATTAAAGTTAAATAATATTTTTAATAAATAATGTTTTATTTAACGTGAATAAGTTGGAATTTTCCCTCACTTCGCAGCGTGCAGACAACTCCATGCACAGATCTCCAAGGTGGAACCAGTAAAGAAAAGAAGCAGAAGCTGAAAGCCATTTTTGGGTTGGAGTATTTGCATGGTGTAAAGCTACGTGTGAGTTTATGTCACCAAGCATCACCACCTCATCTAACACGTTCTCGCCATGCAAACCCTCCAAACCTTCTTTAAATACCCATCCATTCCCCCACTTCATTTCCATCCATCCATCAATTATATACAAATCAATCATCATCATCATCATCACCACCATCATCAATGGCGTCGAAACTCACTCTCCTCTTCGCCACCTTCGCTCTCTTCATGCTCCTCGCCAAAGCCTCCTCATTCGACCTCCAATACGAGTTTGAGGAGGATGAGGAGAACCAACGACGACCGCAACAACAGAGATGCCAACAGGAGTTCGTGAGGCACCAACGACTCAGAGCTTGCCAGCGTTTCATCAGGAGACAAACCTCGAGAGGACCTCGCCTGGAAGATGAATTAGTAGTCGATGATGAAGATGAGGAGAATCAGCAGCAGCAGCGTGGTCAGCAAGACTTCCAGATATGCTGCCAACAGCTGAGAAACATTGACCCACAATGCAGGTGCCCGGTGCTGAGACGCGCAGTGAGGATTCAACAACAGAGAACACAGGGACAACAGGGACGACCGGGACAACAGGTACAGCAGCAGGTGAGGAGGATGCACCGTATCGCCAGCAACATACCCAACATGTGCCAGTTGCAGCCTAGCGTCACTTGTCCCTTTGGCCAGCAATTGGTGTAAACCTCTCCGTCTCTCTCTCTCTATATATATATGTATATGTATATATATGCAGAGGACGGCCATGTATGCAGAGGATCCATGTATGTATAAGCACGAAAGAAATAAAGAAGTTGAGTCCTTGTTCTTGCGGTTTAGCCGCAGAGATTAGGGGGGAGAGAAGATAGTGGGTGTAAAAGCACATTATCGTGTGTGTATGGTTTGCTGCATGCATTTATATAATAAAAGCCCCCTGCATTTTTCTTCTTATTACATTATAACCTTAAAATGACCTGATCATTTGCAGAGTTACCATTGGCAAAAAAACATATGCTTAATTGTAAAAATGGTTTTCTGATTTTTTACTTTCCTAATTTGGTATTTTGAATTTTATTTCTTGTAATTAATTAGTAGGATTTTTTAGAATTAACAACAATTTATATTATTATTTTATAATTATCACGAGACTGGTATTTTTAATTTAAAAATATTAAAATGCTTTAAAAATTAAAAGAGGACCTATTGAAGGTCATCATTTCTAGCTATGCTTTTTCTACATTTCGACTCAAATAATGTAAATATATATTTTATTTAATTATTATAAATTTAATTCATATGATCGTTATTTTTTTTTTGAAAATATGTATTTTATAAAATTTTAGAAAATTTATAGTAAAGATATATTTCTAGAAGAAAATAGTATTAATAAAAAAAAAATAATAAAAAAAATGAGAGCCACCCTGATATTTTCAGATCAAGGGCGGGGCTAGTGATATATTTAGTAACCACGTGGCGATTTTCTACTAGAGCCACGTAAGCAGGAAAAAGCAACTGCCCTTGACCGAGAGTTATCTTTTATTACCAAAACACCACACTCGTCTTCATGAAATTAATCAACTAACAGATGGACATTTCTGTAATTTCATATACCAAACTCGTTTACCATTTTGAACGATTGGCGCTTATGCTTCCTCACTTCTCAGTTGTCATCGTTCCGGTGGCGGGTTGAAATTCATGGCGGTGGCGCCGCTTCTCGCTCCACCTGTGCGCGCGCGATTAGTAGTATCGAAACCGCCCACAGCACGAGTTAGAAAGAGAATTTCGACGTTAGCTACTCTTTCCCCTCCTCAACGCAGTACGGTGGATTGGGTGAAAGAAACTGCAAGCTTTTTCGAGAAAGATTCCAGGCCTATCATGCTATTCGATGGTAAAATTTACTTCACAAATAATTTATTTGACAATTGAATATATATGTAGAGAAAAGTTTTATGAATTTGTGGATTGATTATACTTAGTGCTAAATGCTTCCTTGGAACTTTGATGAATTTGTGGGAGTATTGATTTGACAGGCGTTTGCAACTTATGTAATGGAGGTGTGACGTTCGTGCGTGATAATGATCGTAATAGGTCTGTGATTTCTCGGTTTCTCTCTTTCTGTTCTCTCTCTTTTATTTTTTGTTTTTAACTTTTGAATCTTTTGGTGGGTCATCATGGATCTGTGATGTTGGACATTAAATATTGTGAAAAATCCTCATTGTGTAACTGTTCACAGGAGAATAAGGTTTGAAGCTCTCCAGAGTGAAGCAGGCAAGAAATTATTGAGGAGATCAGGTAGAGCTCCTGATGATATTTCCAGTGTTGTACTTGTTGAAAAGGATAGGTGTGTTTCTTCTGATTTCTTTGCCCTACTGGTCTTGGCTTTAGCTACTGCTCCAGCTTGATTTCAAAGTGATGTTGAAAGAACATGAATACTGAATTAATCATCTGAAATTTATTGCCTTCTTTCTCTGTTTCCCGAAGAGTTAAAATTGATCTCTACAATTTTTATAAGAACAATAAAGGTTTTATTCTATTGTATATATCTCTCTCTATGTGTTCATCATATGATATTTCCCATGTAAGTGAATGAGCTTGCAAAAAGAAACTAATACTACCTGGTGGATTTCAGATCTTATATCAAGTCAGAGGCTGTCCTGAAAATAATGGAATACATCAACTTACCATTTCCCCAACTTGCATTCTTTCTACAGTTCGTTCCTCTGTAAGTTGTTTCTGTACCTTCTCCTTTTTAACCAACGTCCACAGCCCATTAACATGGGTTTGACATAGTGATTCTTCTTTCAATTTGATGCAGGTTTATGAGAGATTTTGTATATGACAATGTTGCAAATAATCGTTATGCTATGTTTGGTCGATCAGACTCTTGCGAGCTATGAATCTCTTACACATTATAAAATACTCAAGGTAAACCTTCTGTAATTTATTGATATGAGAGGATATAGAAACTGAATTCACCATCTTCACTGTGGTCAGTTACCCAGATATCTTGACAGAAGTATGCTGTAATACATATAAAACAGAGCAAACACAAATCAATTTCCGTATCTTCTGCAAACAATCCTGTGATGATGCAACTTTACAACTCTTGCCTTTTGTAAAAGATGGGAGGAGAAGTTTAAATAAAATAACAGCTGTAGTTTAACACCGTTTTCTATGTTTCTTTAGATAGTGCTACTAGAGGATAAATATTAATCTTAGCAAGTTAAAACATATTCCTGTCTATAGATGCTTTTGCCATTCAGGTTTCTGTTTCTGTATTCCCGCACTAGAGCAGCAGTTACATGACTTGGAAGGGAGAATAGACCAGAAAAATTTCTGAAATAAAGAATATATCCATTAGCTTACATCTAGCATCTAGTTATTTGCAAAATTAAAAACCTGCATCCATATCGAATTAGCACATATAACTGATTAGATATAAGTATAATGAGATGCATACTATGGATTATGATGATCTGGTGTTACCCTTACTTTTCATGAAGATGAGGGCAGTCAAACGGATATGAACAGTCTTCTAATTGAAGTTCTTTAAAAGTATGATACAATTTTTACAGTTTCATGGGAATGGAGTGCGCGCTGTAATCCAAGTGCAAACCTGCCAAATTGCAGAAGTTGGGTAAACTTGTAAGAATTAGTATTACCACGAAGTTTTTGCAGGTGGTAAAAGAGCAAGAATAGTACCCTATAATTAAGATTACGAGAGCGGTAACACACAATATGTGCTGATAACACTTGTACTTGGATTTCTTGCGCTTGACTTCATACCCAGCGGGAATCTGCTTGCGGCTTACATACCCATATTGAGGACGGACTAGAAGGACAAATCCAAGAAGAAATCCTGTGAGGAATCCGCCAATATGTGCCGAATTATCAACATGTGGGACGAAACCAACAGCCAAATTTAGGCCGATAATCAAAATAAGGGTGGTAAGTGCTGCACACTGAATAGACTATAACAATTAGGAAGCCTCTTATACCAGAAAGAGAATAGATATTTATTTTAACATTTATGGAATTAGATACCTTGTTTTCGTAGATAGTCCAGTTTGTGATGAGCTCAGATAGCATAGCTCCTAGCAGACCAAATAGTGCACCAGATGCTCCAACTGATATGGTTGTTCTTTCCCTTTTTTGGTTAAGACAAGACATCAAACTTCCACCAAAGCCAGAAATCACATACAAAAGTCCAATTCTCACTGTCAAAATTGAGATACAAAGGAGTTTGAGGATCAGCCCGTACTAATGTTGATTTTTTACTTACATAACTAGAAGAAGTTCTTACAAAATCCGAATTCTTGCTCAAGCCGGATTCCGATGAATAGGAGGCTCAACATATTTGCAAGCAAATGAATAAGTCCGGCATGGAGCCAAATGCAAGACAAAAGACGCCATGCTTGACCTGATTGTACAAGTCCCTGGTCAAGTGCTCCTAGATCTCTCAGCCTGACAAACATCAACATATACCACCAACTTACTGACTACTACAATATTTGCAGCATATTTTTGTTTAATTTAGGTTGAGGCTTTTATTATTTTCTACTCTGTTCTTTCTGGCTCTTCCTACCTACCATTTGGATTGTTCTTGCAAATTCGAAACGGATAATCAAGAATTCCAAAAGCCCATTCACTTTTGATGGAATGCATAGAGAATAAGTAAAACTTCAGGAAACGTACATCTAACATTTTTCAGCTACGAGTTAAATAGATTTTATACAATTTGAACCCATAAGAAATTATAAATTTCCCCATTTTAAGACTAACATGAAAACATTGGTTATTATGTTAGATTTAATTTAATTTTTGAGAGAATGGAATTATTAAAAGAAAAGGGCGTCGTTTAGATCCTCAAGAAACAGAAAATATGAAGAAGAAGAAATCATACGTAGACATTGAAGGTCCAAAAAGAGGATTTTCCTTGAAGGGTTGGAAGGAAAACCTGCCGAGAAAATCGTAGAGAAGGCATTTGTGAGGTACGTGCACAGAAGGACAATTGTCTATGTACAATGAATAAGCAAAGACGACGAGATTAGCGAGGAAGATGAGGGGGACAAGCCACGGCATCCAGGGCTCCGGAGCCGGAGGCAACGGTGGCGGAGGTGGTCGTGGCGGTCGCGACTTTTGGGGACCCGCCTCCACGTCGAACGGCGGTCTCTTCCCCATGCAGAGGAGAGTAGTGGGGTGGTCTGGCGACGCAGACGGT